GCTGTGGATTGGACCAAGCAGCCAAACAAGCCGTGCCGTGCGAGGAGGCCTTCGGGCAATTCATGTTGGTAATGGTACTGGGCCATGAAGCAAGAAGCCCGGTCGTCCAACGAGCGAACGCGATGGGTCCACACATCAACAGCCTTGCCAGTGCCGTAAGTAGTTGCAGGCAAAAACCACGGATCAAGGTATTTGTCTAGAGCCTGCTCCGTAGGAACAGAGGCCTCTAACATCTCAACAGGCGGGCTGATCAAGCAATCGAAGGTGCCCAAGGTTGGGCGCCTCCCCAGGGAAGGCCACTCTGTGAGCAGCTGCGGCACTTTCTGGTCTTGTCTGGCCAACAGGTAAAGGCAGCGCTTTCTGGTGCAAGGGGCAACATCAACCAGGTCTATGGGGCAGGTCCAAACCATCCTATACCCACAATCCTGCCAAGCCTGCCTAATTACAGGGAAGTGGCTATGCCCATTGAAGCCGGCTACTTGTTCCAGCAGCAGCAGTGGCGGCTGCAGACACGCTGCGATGCCCAGCGTATGTAAGAGCAACTGGCCGTCTACATCCTGAAGCCCATGTGAGTTAGCAGCTGAGCTCCAGGGTTGGCACGGAGCGGAGATGCACACACAATGCGGTGGCCTGCAAGCCAGTGCTTGTGCCCACCAAACATGTTCTAGGCTCGCGCAAAGGAACGTGGCAGGTTCTGATGCAATCGAGGCCCAGAGGTCTGAGGCTTGGTACACAACCGAGAGGCCTGGATGCATGGCTTTGGCCCCTGGTATGCAAGCTGGATCCGTGTCCAGCAGCCACTTGATTCGTGTAGGTATGCCGAAGTTCCTAGCAACCCCGACACCCTGTGACCATCCGCAGAAGCCACCTGAGAAAAGCTCAGCGACCTCAAGGACTTCATCCTTCCGAAGAATCGCATCCCCTGCCACGACAGCACTGCCGCAACATGTGTCAATGACCGGCAAGTCTTCCTGAAGCTTGAGGCCTGCATGAAGTATGCGTAAGTGGTTGGAATGTTGTGCCACCGTTGCAAAAACTGAACCCGAAACCCTGACAATGACCTTCACCGGTGTCTCAGGTAACTGCAAGGCAGTTGTCGTCTCCATCCAACTGCCAGCCAGAAAACCACTAAGCAAAAAGTCGCCGTCGGATTCTCGATGACGTCCGTCCAAACTCACATGGTAAGCCCGCTTGCCACATAAACCCTCAAAATCAAGACCCAGAGTCGCCGATGCCTCGTAGAGGGAACGAATGTCCTTCCAAGCCTGAATAGCGATGTCTGGCCCCTGGTCCAGCTTTCGTTTCTTATGCTGTGCTTCTGTATCCATGGCCCAATTAGCGCTCCTAAAAACGACAGCCACGCCTACGGGAAGGCTTGGGCCCAGCAAACCTAAAACCCAAAGTCAAAACCCTGAAGCGTACGTTGATGTCGAGGCAGCTCAGCTTCCTCCCCTGAGGCCGCGGCGTGGAGAGTCCCATGTCAGGGCTTGAAAACAGCTGCTACCTTGCGAAAATGCGGGGTTCCTTATTTTGGGGTACTTATAAGAAGGATCCTACTATTTAGGGTACTATTTTAGGGTCCCTTATTTTCGTATGCATCCTCGAAAATTCGCTCTTCGCTTCTGCGCAGCGATAGTTACATCGGATAGCGACCGCCAGGCCGCGAGACTGGGGCCAGAAGCGTTGTTGCCTTGCGTCTTCAACCCTAGTAGTAGAATATGTATCCTTTAATCTGGGGTAGTATAATCCCTATATAGCCTCTATAAAATCAAAAAGGTTAACCTTTAGTTCGCCATGATACCCGATAAGTAGGCAACTGAGCTTAGGGTTGTTACACTTGTGCGATAATTGACCCCAGATTCAACCCTAAACTTCTAAACCTTAGCCTTTTCACAAGCAGTGCTTGGATAACTCCGGCTTCCCAAACAACCCAAAGGCCTGACCAAAATGACTGCACACGAAGCAACAACATCACAACAAGGATTTCTCTGTATCTTCAGGATGTGGATCTACAACCCTAAACCCCAAGCCCAAAGCGCTAAACCCTAAATCCCAAACCGTAAACCCTAATTCCGAAATGCAGGTGTGAGGTTCCCTAAACCCTAAAGCCGATAACAGCTTTGGGGTTCTCGACACACTCTAAACCCTAAACCCTAAACCCTAAACCCCTAACCCCAAACCCCTATAAATCCTAAATCCTAAGCCCCAAGGCCGAGATGCAGGTTTGGGGTCCTTTAGGTGGGCACGAGAGTCAGAGAGCGTGGCTCTGCCAGCTTGGGCGGGTGCTGATTTGCAGGATGATGCTTCATGTTTGGTGGTTTAGGGTCTAGGGTCTAGGGTCTAGGGTCTAGGGTTTAGGGTTTAGGGTTTAAGGGTTTCGGGTTCAGCGGTTTGGGGTTAAGAGTCGATATTCGAGGTTTGGCTTACGTCTACTTCTATGTGTACTTCTACGTCTAGACCTACGTCTACTTCTACCTCTACTACGACGACTACTACGACGACTCCTGTAATTGCCACTAACCCAGCAGCATCATCTGACGAGGCTTTCCGAGCCCTTGGTGAAGTCGCTGGCAGCTCTGCAGCGGGCAGTGGAGCGGATGGAGGCAGTGGAGAGTCTTGAACTCTTAGGCAGTTCAGCTCGAGATCCCTCATTTGCTTGTACAGGCTAGGGTCATGTTTCTATGTTACTATGTGGGCGGCTACTACAAGGTGTTTTGCCTGTACGCCTTAGACTTGACATTGAGGCTTCGGTTGTCAGTGGGTATCGTCGACACATCGCTGCACCCGACAAAGGTTTCCTAGGACATTTTGCCGCAGGCGCTATGCCCAAAACCCGAATCTAAATTCCAAAGCCCTCAGTCAGAAACCTTCCGCCCCTTTGTGTCATATTTTCAAGCGCCGAACTCAGACCCGAACTTCCAATTCCGAACAAAACCCCACTGATTAAAGTATTGAAGCTTGAATAGCCAGTAATGACTGGGCGGCGTGGAGGGATAGGCACCCCCGAGCTTTTTCGCACGTTTGCGTACCTTGTGATCTATCAAGGATTGAGATCTACCTTCAAAGCATACTTTTGGGAAGGGACTCTGTGGCTCAGGGACTACACGTGGTGACCAGTGGATTCGGGGGTGAGGGCTTCATACAAGGACCTGAATTAGCGGAATACGGGCTTGGGGCGGAAACAACCTGAAGCTGAGTACTTGCACAAGAAGCATCTGCTAGTTGTGAATCTGGGTTGTAGTGTTAGGGTTCGCAACAGGGTATGTGTCTCCCTATAGGAACCCAAGGGAAATGGAAATGTTTCCCTAAATGCCACCCCTCAACTTTTACTCTTGTACCTGGGCCTGCAGCTTCTCAGTCTGGTTACTGGTTGATCTTCAGTAATGAGATCCCCATACAGTTGCTGGGCTTACAGTTTACTTGGAGGCCCTTTTGACTTAGTAAGTCTACTTAGTATCCCCTAGAAACCCTATGATAATCCCCATAACTTACCCCCCTAACCCTACTTACTAAGTCAAAAGGGCCTCCAAGTAGGGCTTAGGGTTTAGGGCTGGGGGGTGCAATCTTGGCAGAGCTTGTTTCAGACTTCGCTCGAAGTGCTCCGGCGTCTTTATGGAGCTTGAAAGTGTTCAGCCCTGAGATCACGGAACCCTAAGCCCTAAATCCTGAATTGTCGACATACTCAGATTCCGAACCCTGTTTAAAACCCCGAGAGCCCCAAATACAGGAATTTTAAACCATACCTCAGTCGTAGAGTATCTATCCTGTAACCTTGTGGGTGTACCACAATGCCCATAAAGAATCCCAGAGGTTTGCCTCTTGTTCCACCGGACACCTAGGATATTAAGTCAATAAGGAGCCTTCTGTAGTATTCTAAGTTGAAGGTATAAGCTTTTTGGCAGGTTCTGGGCCGTCTAACGGCTTCCGAAAAGGCGAGTGTGTAGCTTTTCCACTGTATAGTAAAAGCCAGAAAGTTGGAATATGATTATCCTAAACCCTTTATGCTAAATCATAGGGTATCCTACCCTGAAACCATATTCCAACTTTCTGGAGTTTCCTTTAAGGGGAAGTAAATCCCTTCGTGCTCCCGAAAGGTTGACGTAGGAATTGGAAGCTTGGGGCGTCGAGTTTCGGGTTTCTGGGTATAGGGTTTAGGGCTTTAGGGTTTAGGGTTTAGGGCTTTAGGGTTTAGGGGTTTAGCGTTCATTCTTGATGTTTAAGGTTCAGGTCTGAGGGGTTATAGGATCAAAGTTCATTCTTGAGGTTTAGGTTCAGGTTGAGGGGTATAGAGTCAAAAGTGTGACATATTTTGTACTATTTTGTACAATCCACCATACTTCAACAACGAGCCTGCGGCACCCCTTTCTGACGCTATAGGCCCCAAACCCCAAACCCCTAACCCCCAAATCCAACCCTCAGTCACGATCCTTGTGCAACGCATCGACGCTGCCCATGTTCCAGGCGCGCAGAAGCCGCAGTTGCTGCCCGTGGTGGGCCTGCGAGGCACCTCGAAGCGGGCGGAACCATTTAGCGGTTCGGAAGGTAGAGTTTATAATGTAGGAACCTGATTAAGAAACCTTGGGCCGTGATTAGGGACCCTTATATGAATCCTACTATGTTGGGATTAGAGGCCCAGGGTTTCTTAATCAAGTTCCTACGTTATTGGGTTAAAGGTCAGGTTTTAGGGCTTGCAGGGTTCAGAATTTCGGGTTTGGCGTTGAGGGTTTGGTATTGGGTTTAGGATGGTTTAGGGCTCATTGTCTTGGACAGCCTGCACTGTGGTTTAGCATCCATAATGCTTGGCAAAGACAGGCAGATGGCATGTATGCATGCATGTATGTATGTCTGTAGGTAACCATGTCTTTGTGGTTTTCTTATTAGTAAGTTTGGCACAAGCTCCGTGGCTAAGTCTCACAAGCCTCTCGCGGAAGTCCTGAACCGCAAATCTTAGTTCTCTCTGTTGCATAACTAATTTCTTACTCAGTCCCCCGATCCTCCAAATGGGAGGTCCCGAGCTTTGCATCCCCTAGACCCTAAACCCCACGTTCTTGGTTCGCGCGGTAGGAGCGGGCGGAAAAAAGCTGCTAACAAACATAAAACAATAGGGATCAAAATAGCCCAAGAGCCTTACATAGTCTGGTCTTTGGGCCCAAAAGCCTTCCTTAGATCCGCAGGGAAAGCTAAACCGTGTCTGGAAGGTCTCGCGCTTAGCGCTGGTCTTCGACGACGCGACGTCATTGCTTCGGTGCCTGCGCCTGCTGGCAAAGGACCCGAAGGCCCACCCAAAGAAAAACCCCAGCCCAAAGAGTCGAAACACCTGTTAAGCCATGGTTTAGGGTTTTGTTATTTTTTTGGGTGGGGTTTAGGGTTTAGTTGCTTTTGGGGCTCGGGTAGTTTAGTTGAGTGTATAATCGAGGGTCCTGGTAACGATGTCGGGTACAAGCTTACCTAACGGGTATTTGGCTGTCTGGGCCCAGATGCTTGGGTTTTGTTTGTGGGGAAGTCGGGATTGCGTAGGGGTTAGGGTTTATAGCGCCTGCGGAGTTTTGGTTTATTCGGCTTCTAGGGTTTGAGGTTTGAAAGGGTCTGAAGGTCTTAACAAGGTACTAGCAGATGGCTGTAATGGCATGAAGTACAACATACAGTCCTGAAGAAGATGTCCGTGCATGGGAGGCAGCTTTCAGTTTCATGTTGGATGCTGAACTAGGTGTCCATTGTTCCTCAGGGGTTCACGGTTTGGGGTACGAGACGAAGACAAGATGCTCAAGTACGACAGCTCAGGTACGTCTTCTCCGTTCTCTCCATGTCTTTTTCTCGGGGCTCGCGTAATCCGGAGGCACTAGGATCCTACTGTATGTTCTGTTATGTTATGTTACTTTAGGTTATATCATATTGTGCCAGACAAGTACTAAACCGTAACCCGCACCAGAGCCTGGCACTTCTCTTATGGTCTGATGCTGTTCTATATATATATATATATGTATATATATATATATATATATATACATATCAGTTCGGGCTTTCATCATCTTTTCCGGTGCCTATCTCGATCTCCCCACTGCGTAATCCAAGACACCTACCTACCCTTGGGGTGCATCTTCCTGTGTGGTGAGGTCCTTTGGGTTCAGAACGACTTCGCTCACCCCGCCTGCGACGGTTCGCGGGAGGCCCTCGTCGATTAAGTTCCAGACCCTGTGGGGTTTAATGTAGGGGCCTTACGACGTAGAATATGAGGGTGCAAGGAGTGGCGGTGATCGTGATACCCACGTAAGTCAGTCACAGCGAAGCAAAGCCGCTTCAGGAGTTTAGGGTTTGGGGTTCTCAATTATGGGGTTTTACGGCTTTAGGGTTTAATACACCATTAATCCTAAATCCTATAAACCCCAAAGCCTTCATTTTCAAGCATTTGCGGGATTCCTAAGTGCATGCAAGGACTGGGCTCTAAGACTAACCGATCTCGGGGATCCTGATCTTTCAGAGTTCTGCCCGAAGATCTCGACACAACCCCTAAAGCCACAGCCCCAACATGTACAGCCTTAGGTCCAAGCGACTCCCAGGCATTTCTGGGAGAAGCAAGAAGTATGGGTGCCTTAATCATTAGACTACGCTTTTTTGTTGCGTTGGGGCGGTGCATATTGTAAACCGTACATATTATTGATACCGTATGAGATTATTAATGGTCATTACAAGGGGAACAAAGCAATCCGACTAGTACTGCTGATGGACAAAATCCTGCATTACCTTAAGGACTCGTATATTCCTTATATTGGGTCATGCACCATTTTGTCCATCAGCAGTATCATTCATCTCAACCCTGAGCCCTAAACTGCGACCTTAAGCCCGAAGCAGTTGAGCCTAAGCCGTAATTAGCCAGACCTCTTGACATTAATTTTGGGGTCGGAATCCATAGTCCCTAATAGGCATAATGGAACGGACTCCGAAACCAATTCTCTCCTTTTTGAGCTGAAGTACCCTTGCAGCACCCTTAGACTAACCTTGTAGTACCGTTGTAGTGCCTGGTAAAAACTGATCGTACCCTTGTAGTGGTGTCTTCTAGATACTTTATGGTACGTACCTTCACAGCGCCCCTTAAGTAACCCAGATGAGGGCCTTTCCGTGAGCAGGGAAGGCTCCTATATCGGGGCTTTGGTGGCCTGGTACTACGCCTCAAGTAAACTTAAAGTAGGGTTTAGGTGCAGGGTTGAGACTTAAAGTAATCTGAGAGACCCTTGTAGTACCCTGCACCCTTTAAGCAACCCATAACCCTAAACCCCACCCCCGAGCAGGTGAGTCTCGGCCTCCAATTGGAGAGGGAGAGCCCCGAGGTGTCTCTGTGAGGGTTTGGGTTGAGGGTTTGCGCTTTCGGGGTTTGGGGGTGTAGGGGTTTAGGGTTTAGGGATTAGGGTAGGTTGAGGGTTTGCGCCTTAGGGGTTTGGGGGTGTAGGGGTTGGAGTTGAGGTTTGGGGTTAGGGGTATGGGGTTTGGGGTTTGGGGGTTTCGGAGAGTTTAAGGTTAGGATCCAGGCCATTGAGTTGAAGGCAAACTAGCGGCTTCAGGGTTCGATGGTGCGTTGGGGACGTTTGAGGGTTTAAGGATTTTTGAGGCGTTTAGGTTTAAAGGACTTTTGGGGTTTGGTGGGTTTGGGGTTGGAGCTTTGGGGGTTTAAGGGTGGATGGCTCGGCCGTGAAGGTAAGTAGGAGGTTTGATATGGGTTTGGAGTAAGCCTTAAGCAGAAGCTTTCGCATCACGGTGGGGTCTCTGGCTTCCTGTTTCTATTTATGAGTGTGGCCTCTGGCATTCAGAAACGGAGGACACCATAAAACTTGAGGATCTGCATTAGGTCTCGCGGTTCAGTGAGCCTGGAGCCCCAAAACCCCTAAGCCCCTGAGCCAATAAAGCCCATAGCCGAGGCCCGGCTGCTTAATGTAGGAACCTGATTAAGAAATCCTGGCCCGATAACCCCCATAGATTTATATATATATATATATATATATATAAGGAACCCTAATGAAAGCCCAAGGTTTCTTGATTAGGTTCCTGCATTACGCCTTTCAGCACGTAAGTTTATGAACAGCATGCGAACCCTGCGGCAATGCAGCCCCATGAGTGTGCCCCATGTACTTTATGTATGATCCGTGTAGACTCTGAGCCAACTAAGCCCCACATGAATCCCGTAAAAGCCTGGACAAACCTACACCCGGCATGGGACGGAGTGCTGGTTCTACTATTTCGGGGGTTCCTTATCATATCTATAGTAGCATATGCACCAAACCCCTATTCTATTTATTAAGGCCCCAAACTACACTCTCATCGCTACAGACTTCCCTGAACCTTTATCACGGAATCGTGACATGCGCACTTGCAGGAACTCTTAAAGGACCCTTAACCCTATAAGCCCTCTAAACCTTATAAGCCCTATAAACCCTATAAGCCCTATAAGCCCCATAAACCATATAAACCCTAGAATCTATAATCCTACAAGGTACACTTAATGGATCCCCTAAAGACCCTGGAACACATCCTGCCTCGGCCTGCGAGGTCAGCGAGGTGCGGCTGGTTCTTCGAGGGTTGCTGCAGGCGGGCGGAGGTTTCTTGGTTGAGGTGTCCTTTAAGGGTGTAGGCTTGGGTTTAGGGTGTGTAGGGCCTGTAGGGTGTAGGTTTATATAAGGGGTTCTTGTTCTCTCCAGGCCTTCTCCCAAGTTAGAAGCCACTCCTTTCAGAGTTTAGTGCTGTTGTCGTGGTTTCTTGCACAGGTACAGGGATTTGGGTTCTCAGGACTTTGTTGTGCCTTGGCCCAGAATGCGTAAGCAAGGTAAGTTGAATTCTGGGGAACCCTTACTAATGAATTTACGATGTAAGTTTTATCATTGCATGGTTAAAGGGGTTTGGAGGCGCTAGAGAGTCCTGAAAAAAGGGAACTCTTTAAAGGGAACCCTCGAGGAAAGGTCCCTATATTAAGTCCTTTGCTCTTCAGTTTGCCCCAAGCTCTAATCCCAAAGCCCTGAACCCTGAGCGGACCCTAAAGCCTAAACCCTAAAACCCTAAAGCCTAAATCCTAACACCCTAAACCCTAAGCCCCAAAAGCCTAAACCTTTAATTCTCCTGAGGCGAAGAAGACGTCGTCGCAGCTCCTTGAGGCTGCGCTTGAGGTGCGCATCCGGAGTTTGGCTTATAATTGAACTTCCCAAGCTGTCGGGTTGCAGAGGTGTTTCATGCATTTCATATGTTTTTTTTTTTGCTTGGGCTTGTGTGAAGGTTTCGTAGGGTTGATGGGTTGTATTGGGCTTCAGAAGAGCTGTTGGAGTCTGGGCTTTTGGGTTCGGGCACCGGGAGTTGCTAGCAACTAGTGGTGCTGCTGCAGACAGCAGAGGAAGTACATCTAGATAGCAAGCAGATAAGACGAACATCGGCAAATGTGCCACCATACTGGTGGTCACACTGAACGGTGTTGATGGCCAGACCAGTGACGCTCTCGATACATACTGGGAAACGTATTGAAGTGAAGTTATTCATAACGAGACAGCAGCTCTAGCATCACCAGTAGCTGGCTGTTACGTTAGCTGTGCATCCTTATAAGGCATAAATGATGGCCCGGCGGAGATCTGGGGTTTTGAGGATTTCCTTCAGGTGAAGGTCTTGCAAGGGCCCCTAAACCCTGAACCCTGAAGCCGAAGAGGCATGGCTCTTGGAGCAAGACGGCAGGCTGCAGCCCAGCGAGGCCATGTTCTTGGGGACTTGCAGGGGACTAGGGCGTTGCGACTGCGACTTCGACCGCAGCTGCAACAGCGAACGCAACGACGATATCGACGACGACTACTACAACTACTGCGTCTGCTACTGATACAACTACTAACTGCTACGAATGTCACGACTACTGTGTGCTCAACTGCTCTACGACAGAGACGGTTGCGACGGCCGCTACGATGTCGACGATTACGATCACTAACACGGAGATTGCACAGATTTCTGTAGTACTACTATTCCTCGGCCGATTCGGAATGTTGCTATTGCTACGAGGTCTAGTATTCTCACCATGTTCATTTGACGACGACGGCGTGCAGCAAACAACATACACATGATTCCATTCACTAGGTTTGTTGTTGCGATGTGAGCAGGAGATGTCATAGGCCACTTACACAATGAAATGACCAAGACACAACACTAGGCATCGCTAGACAGGTTGCCACTACAACTGTACCTCTGTTCATACCGACATGAGTATTCAGTCTTCACCACCTACCTACAGTCTCCATTGTAGTTCCTTTTTGGGGTTACCTTATAGGATCCTTAATATATAATTGGTTATATAAACCACAAAGAGGAACTACAACGGAGACTACAGGTAGCATCCTTACTTCGCCGCAGTCAGAAATTTCAAATCCAGAGTCCGGTGGCAATCCAGAGGAAGCAGAAGCAAAGAGGACTGCTCACGCGAGTCCGTAGCGGTGGTCTCAGCCCTTCAAGGCTTAAGGCTCTTAAGGCTTCAAAGTCCCAAGACCCTTATGCCTTAAGCTTGTTTCAGGCCCCCAAACCGGTCGGGAAACGAGGGAACGTCTTCAGGTGGAGTCGGTGGCGACGGAATCGGCGGCTGATCCGGAAGCCCAGGAGCCCTCCGAAGTCGAAGCAGAGAAGAAAGACGAAGAGGATGGCAAGGAGGCCGCTTCAAAGCAGGGCCAGGAAGTTGAGGGAGAGCCGGAGACCTCGCCGCAAGAGCTTGGCCCTGGGGATGCCCAGGAGGATCCCGAGCCATTGGGATCCCAGGCCCAGGCACCCGAAAGGGAAGTGTCGGATGCAGCGAAGGGACCCGAAATGGAGGAGCTGCAGCCGGTCCCCTCTTCGGAAAATGCGGACGGGGATTTGGGGCCACAAGCAGACATGCAGCAGGGAGATGTGGAACCGAAGCCCAAGGCGGAGCAGCTAGCAGCGGCAGAGGCTTCTCCGGAGGAGTCAGGGGCAGAGCCAGCCGGCCCTGAAACCGCAGACGTGCTCCCAGAAAGCGCGGCTTCGGGGCCCAGGGCTACGGAAGCAAAGGAAGCCGAAGCTGCTGCTTCCGCATCTGAAGATCCCTGCGATCCGGAAGTACCCGCAGCTGCAAAAAAAGAAGAGCAGCCGACGGTGTCCATCGTACAGGATCCGGTGGCATTGCAATCAGTGAAGCCGAAGAATGAAGTGAAAGTTGTGCCAACTCAAGCTCAGCAGATTGCGAGGTCCGCTGAGAAGTCGGCGATTGTCGATGAAGACTCCGACTGCTTGGCGAAAGAAGAACCGGCTCAGGAAACTTTGCCGGTGGCCTCGGCCTCACCAGCACCGCCGCCCCCACCAGCACCGGCAGTCAAGGCCGAGAGCATTCCTGGCATGCCTCCAGAGGGCGGCTACAAGGATTCCGGAGGCCTGCCTGCTGCAGCAGCACCAGCGTCTGCAGAAGCAAAGGCCAAGCCCAGCCCAGCGCTGGCCAAGGCGTCTCAGCTTGACGGAGCAGAGGAAGGACCAGGAGGCCCGCCAGCGATACCCAGCATGTCGCCAAAGACTGGTGCAAAGCCACTGCCGCCTGAAGCACCACCACCACTGACCGCAGAAGCAAAGGACAAGCCCAGCCCAGCGCTGGCCAAGGCGTCTCAGCTCGACGGAGCGGATGAAGGACAAGGAGACCCGCCAGCGATGCCCAGCATGTCGCCAAAGACTGGTACAAAGCCACTGCCGCCTGCAGCACCACCACCACTGACCGCAGAAGCAAAGGCCAAGCCCAGCCCAGCGCTGGCCAAGGCGTCTCAGCGTGACGGAGCGGATGAAGGACAAGGAGGCCCGCCAGAAATGCCCAGCATGTCGCCAAAGACTGGTGCAAAGCCACTGCCGCCTGCAGCACCACCACCACTGACCGCAGAAGCAAAGGCCAAGCCCAGCCCAGCGCTGGCCAAGGCGTCTCAGCTTGACGGAGCAGAGGAAGGACCAGGAGGCCCGCCAGCGATACCCAGCATGTCGCCAAAGACTGGTGCAAAGCCACTGCCGCCTGAAGCACCACCACCACTGACCGCAGAAGCAAAGGACAAGCCCAGCCCAGCGCTGGCCAAGGCGTCTCAGCTCGACGGAGCGGATGAAGGACAAGGAGACCCGCCAGCGATGCCCAGCATGTCGCCAAAGACTGGTACAAAGCCACTGCCGCCTGCAGCACCACCACCACTGACCGCAGAAGCAAAGGCCAAGCCCAGCCCAGCGCTGGCCAAGGCGTCTCAGCTTGACGGAGCAGAGGAAGGACCAGGAGGCCCACCAGCGATACCCAGCATGTCGCCAAAGACTGGTGCAAAGCCACTTCCGCCTGCAGCACCACCACCACTGACCGCAGAAGCAAAGGCCAAGCCCAGCCCAGCGCTGGCCAAGGCGTCTCAGCTTGACGGAGCAGAGGAAGGACCAGGAGGCCCGCCAGCGATACCCAGCATGTCGCCAAAGACTGGTGCAAAGCCACTTCCGCCTGCAGCACCACCACCACTGACCGCAGAAGCAAAGGCCAAGCCCAGCCCAGCGCTGGCCAAGGCGTCTCAGCTTGACGGAGCAGAGGAAGGACCAGGAGGCCCGCCAGCGATACCCAGCATGTCGCCAAAGACTGGTGCAAAGCCACTGCCGCCTGCAGCACCACCACCACTGACCGAAGAAGCAAAGGCCAAGCCCAGCCCAGCGCTGGCCAAGGCGTCTCAGCCCGAAGGAGCAGAGGAAGGACAAGGAGGCCCGCCAATGCCCGGCATGTCGCCAAAGACCGGTGCAAAGCCATTGCCGCCTGCAGCACCACCACCACTGACCTCACAAGCAAAGGCCAAGCCCAGCCCAGTGTTGGCCAAGGCGTCTCAGCTTGACGGAGCAGAGGAAGTACCAGGAGGCCCACCAGCGATACCCAGCATGTCGCCAAAGACTGGTTCAAAGCCACTGCCGCCTGCAGCACCACCACCACTGACCGCAGAAGCAAAGGCCAAGCCCAGCCCAGCGCTGGCCAAGGCGTCTCAGCTTGACGGAGCAGAGGAAGGACCAGGAGGCCCGCCAGCGATACCCAGCATGTCGCCAAAGACTGGTGCAAAGCCACTGCCGCCTGCAGCACCACCACCACTGACCGCAGAAGCAAAGGCCAAGCCCAGCCCAGCGCTGGCCAAGGCGTCTCAGCTTGACGGAGCGGATGAAGGACAAGGAGGCCCGCCAGAAATGCCCAGCATGTCGCCAAAGACTGGTGCAAAGCCACTGCCGCCTGCAGCACCACTACCACTGACCGCAGAAGCAAAGGCCAAGCCCAGCCCAGCGCTGGCCAAGGCGTCTCAGCTTGACGGAGCAGAGGAAGGACCAGGAGGCCCGCCAGCGATACCCAGCATGTCGTCAAAGACTGGTGCAAATCCACTGCCGCCTGCAGCACCACCACCACTGACCTCAGAAGCAAAGGCCAAGCCCAGCCCAGCGCTGGCCAAGGCGTCTCAGCTCGACGGGGCGGATGAAGGACAAGGAGGCCCGCCAGCGATGCCCAGCATGTCGCCAAAGACTGGCGCGAAGCCGCTGCCTCCTGCACCACCGCCACCGACCACACAAGGCAAGGCCCATGCAGGGCAAGGAGGTTTGCTACCTGGTACGGCTCAGATGCAGCGGTCCCCTCCCGATGCAATGAGTCCAACACTAGCACGAAGTCCGGTACCTGCCGCGCCCGTTCATCCAGCTGTGCCAGCAAGCGCAGCTCTACCTGTGCCGCCCCCACCACCAGGGCCACCTCCAAAGCCAACAACCGAAACGGCTCTGCTCAGTCGCCCCCCAGTAGACACACAGCCCAACACAGCTCCAGCAAAAGACCTGGGATCTTCACAGGCGCTCGACGAGGAGGTCGAACAGAAGCCAGTCCCTCGAAGACAGGAGCGCTTGCAGAGAGGTTTTCTTACAGCTTTGCTGGCAATGGGTTCAGGATTTAGGGTTTAAGGATTAGGGTTTGGGACCCGAGAATCGCCCCATAGCCGTTAAATGAAGCCATATACATAACGGCGTCCGGTGTCCCCGATAGGCCAAACAGTAAAATTTGGTGTTGATTGAGGTTTAGGTGCAAGATTCTTGACAAAATCGTTATAAGACCTCTCCAAACCTGAAGGCGTAACAACATTGCTAAAACGCTGGTACACGTCGTCTATTAGAGTCTAAGACAGTCTCTTTAACCACTTGAAACTTCCCGAAACCCTACACCATAAGTACCCTGATTGTTTAGACTCTAGCCCTGTAGTCCCGTAGACAATATGTACGACCCGCAAAAAATGCTGGCCCCCATAATGGGTATGACCATTCCTTATAGGCCTAATTACTTACCGTCGTCCTAGCATAGTATTCTCCCCAAAACCCATTCTAATCTCCATTCTAAAACCAGATAAACCTCGTAGCCCCTAAAACCTGAACCCTAAACCCTCATAGTTCGTCGAAGTTCGCTTCAGACGAAGGCCCCTATACCCCTTAACCCTAAACCTTATAAGCCTTACACCCCAAACCCCCAAACCCCTAAACCCCTAAACCCCTAAACCTCATAAAGCATTAAGCCCTAAACCCCTAAAACCCGTAAACCCCTAAACCCCTAAGCCTTATCAGCCCCAGTGGTTCGTCAAAGTTCGCTTTTGGACTCTCCAGGATCCTTCTCATGGTGCAGGGCCTCCAGAAGAGAAGTCTGGCACTTGGGATCATGGAATATAGCCTATAAATCATAATATGAAGCCCTATATAATTTAAGCTATATTCCTTAATTCAGGGGTATCATGGGACTTAGTAAGTGAGGTCATAAGTAATATACTTGGAGTTATAAGTATAGTTACCTTATTTATAACCCTCAAGCCAAGAGTCTTTTCCTTTTTGCGGTTTAGGGTTTAGGGATTTCAGGGTTTGCGCAACGTGCTTATTGAAATGGGAACTTTTCTATGAATATGACGTAGCCTTATAGATACCTTGCACGTGGGAGTAGAGAATCGCGTTTGCGATCTAAAGCCCTTTCACAGGGCTGGGTCTGCGCTCACGGATACTGCCTCAAAGAGTTCGGGTGTAAGATTTAGGATGACGGGTTCAGGGTAGGGTCTTAAAGGTTTGGTGTTGACGGCATTCAACCGTACCCTGTGAAGGTTGGACACCGTCAGAGACTGCTTTACAGCCCATGTATGGGATTTTCCGAAAACTAGGGGTACCTTATTTCGGGGTCCTTGTAATAAGGATCCTACTCTTTAGGGTACGATTTTAGGGTCCCCTATGTCCGGAAACTCCCAACCCTAAACCTTTGATAGAACCCTTATAGATCCCTTAAAGGAAGCCTTAAAGAGTCCCCTGTTTTCGGAAGCTCCCAACTAGACCCTCAAAAATGTATCTGGCTCTCCGCAAACTCTGCCCTTAAGATCCTAAACCCTAAACCCTCAACCCTGAACCCTAAACCCTAAACCCTAAACCCTAAACCGTGCGTTTCTCGGAGATAGCCGAAAGTCAGTTTGGAGAGCTTTCGGATGAGCCTTCAGGGGCTCATGGCACAACGTGCGTGCATCCGGGGTGTGGGCTTAGTTTAGGGTTTAGGGTTTAGGGCTTAGGGGATCGTTGACCAGGTGTTGGAACAGGTTGAATGCTAAGGATTCACGGGGCTCGGTGTAGCCAGAAGACTGCAGCCTTGCCATGCGTTCGCTAGCAAGTGCGCAGGCGGGTCTTTAAGGGTGTTCTACATCCGGTAGTCCGAGAGTACACAGAGTTACTCTGGACTGACATGACTACATGCCACAATGACTGCAGGTCTGACGTAGCACCGGCCGCATCCGAGCAGAAAGCAGAGCCAGAAGAGTCTGGACCTGAGATTTGCAACAATGCCTCAAGGGCTCGGGAGGAGTTTTCCCAGACATGCTTTGAGCCAGGCAGCCGGCTTCTGCCAAGCTGCCGTCAGATGCAACAGCATCGTCGGAGCCTTGGTTAACTGCTGTCGACGGCAGAAGGTTTGAACCGCAAGCTAGTGGGATAGTCGTCCGTGCTCGCTGCTCAACCATCTCTCATCTCGGTGACGGCCCATGATGGGCCCATGATGCTAGGATCATGCCTGCATTGCTTCTGTTTGGAGCGAGATGTGCTCAGGCGTGAAGAACCCGCAACACATCTTGCTACAACGGCCGAGCCAGCGCGCGGCTCTCAGCGCAATCGCGGCAGCTTCGCAAAATTTCGTGGCGCTGCGTTGTCGCGATGATGGCTCAGGGCAGTTCAAGACCAGTCAACCGCAGCGGCGGTGCAAGCAGAGTCCAGCCCCAAGTTCGTATCGAAAGGCCATTGCCGATCAATGTCATGATGAACTCGTGCGGGCCAAGGGTGCAAGCAGTGGATGAGCTGCAGCTGGTGCCGGAAGATTCGCAGCACAGCGCCTGGACATCTTGCTTCCGAGTGCTTCTGCTTCTTATGGGGGAGGTGATCGCTTCTCGTCTGGGGACTCAGGCCAGACAGCGATGTTCCTGTCGCCGCAAAGCAGGCTGTGCACGCGCCTGAGCCTTGCCATGCGTTCGCTAGCAAGTGCGCAGGCGGGTCTTTAAGGGTGTGCTACATCCGGTAGTCCGAGAGTACACAGAGTTACTCTGGAGTGACATGACTACATGCCACAATGACTGCAGGTCTGACGTAGCACCGGCCGCATCCGAGCAGAAAGCAGAGCCAGAAGAGTCTGGACCTGAGATTTGCAACAATGCCTCGAGGGCTCGGGAGGAGTTTTCCCAGACACGCTTTGAGCCAGGCAGCCGGCTTCTGCCAAGCTGCCGTCAGATGCAACAGCATCGTCGGAGCCTTGGTTAACTGCTGTCGACGGCAGAAGGTTTGAACCGCAAGCTAGTGGGATAGTAGTCCGTGCTCGCTGCTCAACCATCTCTCATCTCGGTGACGGCCCATGATGGGCCCATGATGCTAGGATCATGCCTGCATTGCTTCTGTTTGGAGCGAGATGTGCTCAGGCGTGAAGAACCCGCAACACATCTTGCTACAACGGCCGAGCCAGCGCGCGGCTCTCAGCGCAATCGCGGCAGCTTCGCAAAATTTCGTGGCGCTGCATTGTCGCGATGATGGCTCAGGGCAGTTCAGGACCAGCCAACCGCAGTGGCGGTGCAAGCAGAGTCCAGCCCCAAGTTCGTATCGAAAGGCCATTGCCGATCAATGTCATGATGAACTCGTGCGGGCCAAGGGTGCAAGCAGTGGATGAGCTGCAGCTGGTGCCGGAAGATTCGCAGCACAGCGCCTGGACATCTTGCTTCCGAGTGCTTCTGCTTCTTATGGGGGAGGTGATCGCTTCTCGTCTGGGGACTCAGGCCAGACAGCGATGTTCCTGTCGCCGCAAAGCAGGCTGTGCACGCGCCTGAGCCTTGCCATGCGTTCGCTAGCAAGTGCGCAGGCGGGTCTTTGAGGGTGTTCTAGATCTGGTAGTCCGATAGTACAGAGAGTTACCCTTGACTGAGATGACTACATGCCACGATGCCTGCAGGTCTGACGTAGCACCGGCCGCGTCCGAACAGGAAGCAGAGCCAGTAGAGTCTGGACCTGAGACGTGCAACAGTGCCTCGAGGGCTCGGGAGGAGCTTTCCCAAACACGCTTTGAGCCAGGCAGCCGGCTTCTGCCAAGCTGCCGTCAGATGCAAAAGCATCGTCGGAGCCTTGGTTAACTGCTGTCGACGGACGGCAGAAGGTTTGAACCGCAAGCTAGTGGGATAGTCGTCCGTGCTCGCTGCCCAACCATCCCTCATCTCGGTGACGGCCCATGACGGACCCATGATGCTAGGATCATGTCTGCATTGCTTCTGTTTGGAGCGAGATGTGCTCAGGCACGAAGACCCCGCAGCACAGCTTGCTACAAGGGCGGAGCCAGCGTGCGACTCTCAGCACAATCGCGGCAGCTTCGCAGAATTTCGTAGAGCTGCGTCATCGCGATGATGGACATGATGGCTCAGGGCAGTTCAAGACAAGCCAACTGCAGCGGCGGAGCAAGCAGAGTCCAGCCCCAAGTTCGTATCGAAAGGCCATTGCCGTTCAATGTCATGATGAACTCGTGTGGGCCAAGGGGGCAAGCGGTGGATGAGCTGCAGCTGGTGCCGGAAGAGTCGCAGCACAGCGCCTGGACATCTTGCTTCCGAGTGCTTCTGCTTCTTATGGGGGAGGTGAGCGCTTCTCGTCTGGGGACTCAGGCCAGACAGCGATGTTCAGGTCACGGCAGAGCCGGCTGTGCACGCGCCTGAGCCTTGCCATGCGTTCGCTAGCAAGTGCGCAGGCGGGTCTTTGAGGGCGTTCTAGATCCGGTAGTCCGATAGTACAGAGAGTTACCCTTGACTGAGATGACTGCAGGTCTGACGTAGCACCGGCCGCATCCGAGCAGGAAGCAGAGCCAGAAGAGTCTGGACCTGAGACTTGCAACAATGCCCCAAGGGCTCGGGAGGAGTTTTCCCAAACACGCTTTGAGCCAGGCAGCCGGCTTCTGCCAAGCTGCCGTCAGATGCAAAAGCATCGTCGGAGCCTTGGTTAACTGCTGTCGACGGACGGCAGAAGGTTTGAACCGCAAGCTAGTGGGATAGTCGTCCGTGCTCGCTGCCCAACCATCCCTCATCTCGGTGACGGCCCATGACGGACCCATGATGCTAGGATCATGTCTGCATTGCTTCTGTTTGGAGCGAGATGTGCTCAGGCACGAAGACCCCGCAGCACAGCTTGCTACAAGGGCGGAGTCAGCGTGCGACTCTCAGCACAATCGCGGCAGCTTCGCAGAATTTCGTAGAGCTGCGTCATCGCGATGATGGACATGATGGCTCAGGGCAGTTCAAGACAAGCCAACTGCAGCGGCGGAGCAAGCAGAGTCCAGCCCCAAGTTCGTATCGAAAGGCCATTGCCGTTCAATGTCATGATGAACTCGTGTGGGCCAAGGGGGCAAGCGGTGGATGAGCTGCAGCTGGTGCCGGAAGAGTCGCAGCACAGCGCCTGGACATCTTGCTTCCGAGTGCTTCTGCTTCTTATTGGGGAGGTGAGTGCTTCTCGTCTGGGGACCCAGGCCAGACAGCGATATTCCGGTCACCGCGAAGCAGGCTGTGCACGCGCCTGAGCCTTGCCATGCGTTCGCTAGCAAGTGCGCAGGCGGGTCTTTGGGGGTGTTCTGGATCCGGTAGTCCGATAGTGGACAGACGCAGACGTAGACTTTAGACTGAATCACACCTAACTTACATGACTACATGCCACGGATAGTGGACAGACTTGATTACACTTGACTGAACCCTAAACCCTAAACCCTAAACCCTAAACAATGACTGCAGGTCTGACGACGCACCCGGAGCCGAGCCTGCACCTGAGACCTGCAGCATTGCGCCATAGCTTTGGCCTTCGGAGTAAGGACTCTTGTCGAGATGGGTGGTTGTGAAAAATAATGGTCCCTTTTTGGGTCCTTAATATAATACGGCACCTAATATATTTAGGGTACCCCAAAAGGGGACCATGATTTTGACAACTACCCAGATAATTGAGCCAGGCTGGAGCAAACACTGCCGAAAGGAGCACTTGAAGGGGTGGAGGCCGGGTGTACTGCTGGCCTGTGCGATGAGCACCAAACTCTGCACCTTTAAAGTTTCTTATGTAACCTACTTGAACCTACAGTAGACCCCAAAACGGGTTCCGTTTAAAGGGGTCCATAAAGGTTACTATAAGGGTAGTAATAGGGGCCTGGGTACTATGTAGGTAACCCCAATATAATACAGTAGGAATGTAGGTATACTTCCGCCCAATGCTGCCGTGCCCTCTAAACCCTAAACTTTAAACCCTATACCCTATACCCTAAAGCCTATACCCTAAACCCTGAACCCTAAACCCTTACCCGAGATGGCGGCGACCCTAAAAACCCAATCGCGCGCAGGCTCTTTTGCTGCTATGGTACCCCTCTGAGAAAAACCTGAGCCCTCAACCGTAAATCCCTAGAGTACTCAGCCCTGAACCCTACAGCCCGAAATCCTAAACCCTAAACCCTACAGCCCAAAATC